CGGGTGGGGAAGCGCAGGGGGGCCCGCACGGGGGCGCAGCGACGGGCTGCAGTGGCGGGGCGACGAGGCAGTGCGGGCCCGTGTGGCTGCTGGTAGCGGCATGGCGAGGCCACTGGTCGCCGCGATTTCACCAGCGAGGGACGGCGGAGCGACGAACGGGGCCGCCGACGACCAGCGCCAATCGCGCCGCACTGGTCGTCGCGACCTGCTTTCCGTCGGTCGCGACGTGACGATCATGGCGCGACCGGGTCAGCAGGGCTGACGGGGCGAGCTGCATGTGGGCAGGCGGTGGGCCCATGACGAGAGAAAGAAAATAAGTCCGCGGGACGGACCTGCTCTGGATACCATGTTAGAAACTAAAGGAACTTAGGAGCCATTAAGAGTACGAACAAGAATGGCGAGAGGAACGTGAGAGAAGAGAAGAGGGCTTTCACTAACAACGAAAGGAACACGATATAGGTGGGAATGGTGGCAAAAAGGGGTACACCACCAAGAGACAATACCAAGATGATACTACACTAGATGTCTACATGTAGTTATAAAATTCAACAAAACGGCCACAAGCCCAGTCGAAGAGTATATATACGTATATATAAAAACAACAAAGCCAGCAGTACAAGAGGCATGGCTATACTTTACGAGGACGGGTCTGTACAAGGCCAGGCTGCGAACAGAACCTGTGGTGGTCCTGAGGCGAGAGAGCCTTGATGAAGATGTCCGCAGTGTTGGCCACTGAGGCCATGACCACCAAGCGCGCCCGGTCGCGTCGCTATAGCTCTCGTCGCTGCCACCATCCGGCTCGGCGCTTTGCCAGGTTCTCAGTCTTCCGTCTTCCACTTGCCTTAATCCTTCCCTACTGCGTCCACCGCCTGACCAGTCTCAGCCACAGTTACTGCCTGACTCCCCTATGCCTGCTCCTTCTCCTTACACTGCGCAGACAGACTCCCAGACAGAGCGTCGTGAGCATGCGTCTCGTCCTGCCTCGCCTGTTCGCGCTGTCCGTCGTGTTCATCCTCCGCCTGTCCCCGGCACACACACTATGGCACCTCGTCCTTCCTCTGTTCCACAGCGTGTTGCTCTGCCGTCTCCTCCATCGTCCTCTCTTCCTGACGTTCCTGACCCTGAGCCTGACTTTGCTTGTGCTGCTAGTCCGACTGTCACTCGTTGTCTGGCCACACTAGTCACTAGCCCTACCTTTGAGTCTACTGCTGTGTCTACCTTAGTCACTGAGCTCGTCGACTTTGCTGCTGCCTATCGTCTTGACTACTTCGCAAGTCTTGTTTCTGAGTCTGACTGTACTCCGTCCGTCGGGGGTGAGCTTGCCCTTGGAAGTGACGTACTTGAGGACAGGCAGTTTGAGCTTGAGTGCCTCGTGGCTGCTGTACCTCATCTCGCTGCCATGCTGCTTTGCCCTGAGGGAGACCCGGATGCACTGGACATCCCGACCCCGCGCTCTTACGCAGAGGCGATCATGGGTGAGTACTCCTCTTAGTGGCAGACAGTTACGGACGCAGAGATGGCATCCTGGAAGTCCACATGCACATACGTCGACGCAGTTCCCCCTCGTGAGGCGAACATAGTCGATGGCATATGGATTTTCGGGGTAAAGCGGCCGATGGGTTGTCCGCCTGCCTTCAAGACACGTTACGTTGCACGAGGTTTCAGTTAGGGACACGGGGTCGACTTCTTCTAGGCCTTCTCCCCCACCCCGAAGATGACCACTTTTCAGATGTTAATGCACGTTGCAGCGCAGCGTGACTACGATCTGCACTCCATCGACTTCTCCACGGCTTTCTTGCAGGGTAGTCTTCACGAGGAGATCTGGCTGCGCCGCCCACCTGGCTGCACTGGGTTGTTTCCTGAGAGTACCCAGTGGAGCCTCCGGCGGCCGGTCAAATGTCTCCGCCAGGCGCCCCGTGAGTGGCACGACAATCTGAGGACCACACTTGCGGCTCTTGGGTTTGCTCCTTCAATCTGCGCACCGACCCTTCTTTGCCTGCGATCTACATCCTCGTATACGTTGACGACTTGGTCTTTGCTACCTCTGACACTAAGGCACTGGTCCTTGTGAAGACGGAGCTGCAGAAGAGACACACTTGCACTGACCTGGGTGAGCTGCGCAGCTATCTTGGCTTGCAGATCACCCGGGACAGAGCATCGTGCACCATCACTCTGACTCAGTCATACATGGTGCAACAAGTCCTTCAGCCCTTCCGCCTTCCGTTCTCCTCTCCACAGCCCACTCCTCTGCGTACCGACCATTCGCTTTCAGCTCCCTTTTCAGACGAGTCCGTAGAGCCGAGTCGTCCGTATCCAGAGCTTGTGGGTTGCCTCATGTACCTGATGACTTGTACTCGGCCTGACCTCGCGTACCCTCTCAGCATCCTGACCCGCTTCGTTGCTCCCGGTATACATCGGAAGGAGCACTGGACAGCTGCTAAGAGGGTGGTGTGCTACGTGGCCAGTACATCAGGCATGGGGCTTGTGCTTGGAGGACGGGGCCGAGTTGTCCTCACAGGTCACTCAGACGCATCTTGGGCAGACGACCAGGCGACCCAGCGGTTGTCACAGGGTTACACTTTCAGTCTCGGCTCTGGTTCATTCTCCTGGAGGTCCACCCGCTCGTCTTCTGTTCTCAACTCCAGTTGTGAGGCCGAGATCTACGCTGGGGCCATGGCTGCACAGGAGTTACGCTGGCTGACCGAACTGCTGGCCGACTTGGGTGAGCGGCCTCGTTCACCTACAGTTCTGTACGTCGACAACAAGGCCATGATTGCCTTGTGTCGGAAGCAGAGACTGGAGCACAGAAGCACATCGCTCTACGTTACTTCCTCGCGCGAGAGTTGCAGTAGCGTGGTCAGCTTCGTCTTGCTTACGTGGCCTCACAGGCCAACACTGCTGATATCTTCACCAAGGCCCTAGGGTCTGGTGATCATCCGCGTTTCTGCATTGCTCTGGGCCTTGTGCCTACTCTTCCTCACTTGCTTACCTCTTGACTTTTCCCTCTTGACTTTGCCTTGTACAGTGATCTATATATATGCCTGCATGCTTACCCTTGCTAGGTTGTGATCACTGTACTGCATATGTTCTTTATAACTCTGCATGTGAACTGGCCTTATGGTCACTTGCTTGTGCTCGGACTGAGTGGTGACTTTGTGATCCACCCTGAGATTTGCATTGTTGTTTCGCTTGACTGCCCTTGTGACCACTTGTTGTTCTTTCTGTTCCCCACTTCGCCTACGGGGGTGTGTCAAACTATATATTATATATGGTTATAGTCTGTAGTGGGGCTGCTCTTAGAGGGGATATAGTTCTAGGGTTTCACATTTGTATCCCATCTTTCCTAGTCCAATTCACTCCGCTGTACTCTCTTCCTTAACAGCTTCGTTATGAAGCGGTGCGCTAAGGAGAGCCTTCGGGAATGCTGTAATAATCCTTGGTTATTCCACCAGTTTTACTCACTGATTAGCCTTGTGGCCCTTTGCCTAAGAGGCCTGGCTAGTAGTACCGTCTTGTGTTGAACTCATACACTTTTGTTGATCTTGCCAACTGGCCTTGTGGCCCCTGGCCTCAAAGGCTAGACTAGTCGTGCCGCGCTGTGTTGTTTCTCATCTTCTAGGCAGTGCCACTTACCTAACCTAGGAGGCGTGTAAACACACACATTTGTATAGTTGCATATGTACTTTGTAGGCTATGTTTAGTTGTGGTAGATATACCACCTCTCTATGCCCCCATCATCCATTCATCCTGTTTCTGCACGTTTTACCCTGATAACGTAGGGCATATAAGTATCCCTCTTTTCGAGTGCGACCCGGAATTTTCTCCGAAGGTAGGTAGGGGATGAAAAATAACATGTGCGTACATGTTAGAACCTACATCTAGGTGGGAGGTTATGACACATGGAACACATATGCCTTGCTGGATGGACCCAACTGTCCAGAGGCGGTGTATTTTGCACACCATGCGCGCATGATGCACGGCAAAGGGTTGCTACAGTGCGTTGTGCGAGTGCACTTTCCGCAACCTTTTCATCATGTTGGCATGGAAATAGCTTCTTAACGTTTATTTGCACGAATATTCGTTGTGGACGTGGATTCTGCTAATTGTGTAGATTATAATACTGCAGAAATGCACCATAAAATATAAGTATCAATCAAGACACTTATTTCCTATGGTAGGGTCTGTTTATACAAGCGGGATATGAATTGTGGATGGAACTTTTTGTAGCGAGCCATTGCCATTTTCGTTTGGGAGGCGCCAAGCCGACAGTTTCGGCTCTGCGCAACGGTCACTTTTTGCGGCACGACATGGGAAGCGCCCAGAGTCGCCGTCACTGGCAGAAGTCGATTCCTGGTTGTCCACAAGGGCAAGGGAGCAATGGTCAGGGATGGTGCTGTGCACTTGTGCCGCCGGGTCGTCGTGACTGCGGCTCCAACGGGTCTGAACCATGAAGGGGGACAACGGGTCAGAAAAAATCAGGTCAGAAATCACTTGCTCTTTTCAGGACCCAACGTCCCGCCCGTATTTCGTGAGGACAAAGTGGAATGAGTACCACTCTTTCTAGCGTCTCTCCTAGTCTAAAAGTACCACTTGAGTATAATGCAAACCGAAGTTCTTCTTCTCACGGATGGGTATTTCGCAACTGAGTTTCAGTTGAATCTGGTAGGTACCTGAAATGTACCTACCACGTTTTTTTCGAACGACAAAAATATCACGCGTTCCCAACAAACACACACCGCTAACCCACAACTTAGTTGGCGGGAAAGTGGGAATTGTGGCCCACTCAGCCTGTCACGCGGTTCGGGTGAATTCGCCCCGCAAGCTTTGATCTGTATGCCGTTCCATCAGCAGGCCATGCCAAGGATTACGGATGCTTGCTTCCGTTCCAATCGTCATTCCATTCCGCAACCCGCTGCTCGCGGGTTCAGCCTAACTGACAGCCTAGGATGCCCGAACTGAGAGGAGCTCTCTTTCTCTGTTGTTCCGATTTTCGAAATCTTATGACTCGAAACACAACTATGACCGTGCAGCACTACCAATCTCGAACACAGTACTGTTCTTTAGCAGATCTCTCCCGTACCTAGGTAGCGCGATAGGACCTCCAGCCTTTATCACACCTTAATTTATTCTCCCGTTGTGCTTGCCGGTACCATGGCGGGCATAACACTCTTCGGCGTCACCTTTTCTCTCGCAGCCATAATCGGTATTAGCGCGGGAATTCTCGCCGTCATCCTCATCATCCTCTCCCTCCTCACCTGCTGCTGCTGCTACATGTGCCGTGGCCGCAGCCCCAAGCGGCGTCGATTAGATGAAATAGCTCCAGCGCCCATGTACCCGCCGGCCATGTCAGCCGCTGGTCCCGGCGTGTACGTTAAAGGCATGGGCCCACGCGGAGCGCTACCGCCGGGCCCGTATCCTCACAGCTTGTCACACCAGCAGATGATGGGCGGCACGGAGATGCTTCCCCCGCGCTACATCCCTCCGCCCTCGCCCGCCGCGCTCATGCAGAGTCCCATGAGACCGCTTCTCGGCGCACCGCCCCCCGCGGCAAAGCCCGGAGCAGGCGCGCAGGAGGAGGGTGTGGTGGCCAAGTGGGAGAAGGACCTGCGCGCGGGGATGTTTCGCAAGGTGGGGCTTGCGGAGGTGGAAGCGGCCACGGGGAAATTCAGCAAGCGCGCGTTTCTTGGTGAAGGCGCGTTCGCTGCAGTGTACAAGGGGCGGAGTCCGTCCGGCGTGCCGTGGGCCGTAAAACGGTCAAAACGGAGACTGACGGATGGTTCCGCCGGCGCCAGCGATTTCGAGAACGAGGTGATGATGATTTCGCGACTGTCGCACAAGAATCTCGTACGGCTACTGGGTTACTGCATTGAGGGTGGTGAACACATCCTTGTGTACGAGTTCGCGGAGAATGCGACGCTGTCACGCGCTCTGGGTCGCTCCCAGCCCCCGTTTCTGTCGTTCGCTCAGCGGCTGGAGATCGCGCTGGGCACGGCGGAAGGGCTGCACTACCTGCACAACGCGTCGTCGCCGCCCATCGTGCACCGCGACATCAAGCCCGACAACATCCTGCTGGACGGCCAGCTGCGCGCCAAAGTGGCGGACTTCGGGCTGCTCAAGAACATCATGGAAGGCGGCGGCGCGGGCGAGGTCGTCTCGTCCGTGTACACTCGCGTCGCGGGAACCCCGGGGTACCTGGACCCCGAGTACCACTGCACGTCCAAGGTGACAGTCAAGGGGGACGTGTACAGCTTCGGCGTGGTGCTTCTGGAGCTGTTCACGGGTCAGCGCGCGATCATGATGAACTGCCGTAAGCCCGGCGGCGGCGACGGCGCGAACCCCGTGCACATCTCGCAGTGGGCCGCGCCGCTGGTGGCGGGCAAGGCGTTGGACGACCTGGCGGACCCGAAGATGGGCGGAGAGTTCGAGCCGGCGGTGCTGCTGCGCGCGCTGGAGATTGCGCTGCTGTGCGTGCGCCCGTCGTCGAAGCAGCGCCCCGACATGGGTGCGGTGGTGCGCGGACTGGCGGAGCTGCGCGAGCAGATCATGGCGCGCGACGAGCCCCCGGAGACGTTCGTGGAGGAGCACGCGCGCGGGCTGGATGACCCCGACTCAGACGAGGAGGCGGAAGCTGCGCAGGCGGAGCAGGGGCGGGCGGAAGGAAGTACGCGGGTGGGCGAGGAAATGGATGCGTCATCGCAGGAGTATTCGCGGGGGCCGGAGGAGCCGGAGGAAGAGAGAGATGACGGAGAAGGCGAAGAGGGGCTTACTGGCGCGGCGGACGAGGAGCAAGGGCTAGTCGCGGGGAGCTACCGTGGAAGTGACATCGGCGCGGGACCGAGGCAGCTTTCGGGCCGGCGCACTGCTTCGGGCCGTAGCGGGTTGGAAGGTTCGGGAAGGAACATCGGGAGTGCCTCGGGCGCTGGTTCGTCAGGGCGGAGGACAGAGGGCGAGCCTGGCAGCGTGAAGTACAGCGCGGGTGTGGAAACGTTTGAACCCGAGGAGGGGGCGCACGGTGTGGACCCCAGCAGCAGGCAGTACGGCGCTCCAGAGGCAGCGAACGCAAGGTCGAGTTACTACGACAGTGGGTTTGTCTACCCCGTGGGTGCGTTTGGGAACGCGTACGACAGCGGGTGGATGCCGCCGCATGGGGGCGACCGCGGGGAGGATGGAGATCGAGCAGGCAGCCATGTGGTAGTGAACCTGGGCGCAGGCAGCAGGCGATGAAGGGTAGATATACGGTATCTGAAAAGGGATAGTGTAGGCTTCGTTCAGAAGAGGCAGCATCAGGTTCGGGGATAGGGCCAGGTGAGGCTGCTTAGAAGCAAAGAGTATGAGAAAACTTGGTGTGGGCATTAAGAGCCAGTGCTGCTGCCAATGCTGGTGGAGAGTGTACTGTGCTTGTAGTGTAACGATTGAGGGGAGGTTACTGGCAATCCTCCCACTGCCGTTATCTGCAGCAATTTCGCTGCTTTCATATGTGTTGTCCTTCCCACCCTAACTTTCCACATAGTGGTAACTCTGTCGATTTCCTCGTTTACTGAGCCTCATTGATGCCATGTAATGTGGGTAAATGCTTATTTAATTGTGATTGTCAGCAAGGTATAGTAAGGGTAGTGTGTAACGAACGTCCAGCTCCACAATGCGTACAGTGTTGTTCACCAACCCCCGATCATTCCTTGCCCGCCGGGTCATTTTTCGTTCGTTTGGATGCGGCTCATGCTTGTTTCACAATGCAAAAGAGTCGAAACCATGTTAAGATTAGAGAAAGATTAATCTCTCAGTTTCAAAATTTAAAAGCAAAAAGAACACGCCTTAGTCACAACTTGGATATTGCGTTTTCCGCGCAGAACAGAGCATGTGGCCAGCATGCAATGTTGGCCCTGTTCGGCAGGCGCATGAGCGCAGGCTCGGGGCTGGGCTACAGTAAAACGACCACCCGAGAAGCTTCTGAGATGAGCGTTTGACCAGCTATCAAGGCCCGGGATAGGCGCATGAGCACCGAAGCGAACAGATGCTGAATGGCTGCCGAACGGTCTTTTTGGCCCCAGGTTTGGGAGCCAAAACTTCGTTCCTGGAACCATCCTCCCCTGGCAAATCGAGGCACCACTGATGCGCGCATGGTGCGTCGTGGAGAGGTAGCATCCATGCGCGCATCACTGATGCGGGGCAGCATTGAAGATTCGCCAAACTTTTCACCAAATTAGGGTTGAACACGTAACATCGATTTTGCTTATGGGAATGTTTGGTCCCTACCCAGCGACCCTCGGGGCAGCCCGGACAGTTGTGGGTCACGTGACACATTCCTTCCGCGAGCCTGCAACAAATTGACAAAACACGAACCAGACCCAAACCTGACTATTTGGTATGTTACACCACTCCCGCACCAGAGCTCATTCCCGAGCCTAGATGCTGATGCGCCTGCCGAACAGGGCCGTTGAATCCAGTCGAATTTCATGAGCCACCTTCCTGCTTCGAGGAGTGGACGTTCCACATGCCCACCTCGATCATCACAACCAGCACTCTAGTGCTTCAATCGCTGCCTATATCTTGGCTCGACTCGAGGTGGACGGTAACTAATACATGGTGCTGGTAAGTAGGAATAGATACTTCTCTGATCGCGTACTTGTGAGCCATGGCGAAGCCACAGGATGGCGTGGATGAAGGCCTGCCACGCGGGCCGACGACTGCCCTGGCCGTGATGTTTCTCACGAACGCCTTGGCGCAAACCGTTCTGCTTCCATTTGCGCCATTCATGGTCCAAGAATTTGGGCTCACAGAAAAGCAAGAAGACATTGGGTGGGCCTGATCGACCAATCTTTTGCAGATTACTGATGCTTCTTTGTGACAAAGTAACACTGTTCTCTATGCTGCAGATATTTCGCAGGTCTCCTTGCCTCCAGCACATTCGTTGGAAGCCTTCTCTCAAGCTTTTTGTGGGGGTACGCCAGCTCGAGTCTGTTCCATCACTCTCCGCTCTGTTTTCTCCTCCCTGTTCTCGCTCTCTTTCAAGCTAGCTTTCTCTGTCACTCTCCAATGTCTCCCTCATGCTCGGCATTCGCGAAAGTACTGACTTATGGTTGCAGATCATTGTCAGATCGAATTGGAAGACGACCTATTCTTTTGATGACACAGCTGAGTACGTTAATCTGCGGGTTACTGTTTGGATTCAGCACTTCTTACCGAATGGCGATGTTTGCAAGATTTCTGGACGGCTTTTTCAGCTCAATTGGAGTTGCTAAAACGTAAGCGCGCACAAGTTCACAGGAGGATCACTCTGTCTAATTCATACTCACTCTGCTTACAAATTTCATCCAGGTCGTTATCTGAGATTACCAACGACACCAACCAGGCGAAGGGGTAATTGCATAATTCTTCTGTGAGCGTTACGACTAGCAGTAAACGACCCCTTCGACTTTGAGTTGCTCTTCGTCATTGCAGGTTTTCTATAATTGGAGTATGCTGGGGAGTCGGCCTACTGTTGGGTGAGTCGCTCAGAAGTTCAGCTATGCAGGATTTTCTTAAGTTGGTTTGAACCAGAACTGACAGCTGCAAACTGCACACCAGGCCCTGCAATTGGAGGATTGCTGTGCCTTCCTTCGCAGAAATATCCAGATGTTTTCCCACCAAATGCCATTTTTGACCATTTCCCGTTTGCATTACCGTGCCTGGTGGTTGCAACCGTCACAACAACTGGACTTGTTGTTTCCCTGTTCATGCTTCCTGAAACACGGCCTCGTGTCAAGTCAATTAATGAAGTGGAGTTGGGCGTCGTAGACAGCATTGAGCGTTTCGAAGTTGAAAAATGTTTCAAGGAAAACATCGACTCTCCTTCCTCAGTTCTCGATCTCACTGATTCCGACAAAATGGAATTGAGAGTTGGCGTGGACTGCAAAAAACAGCTAGACTTTGAGAAAGAGGCTTTGCTAACAGGAAAGCCAGAGGAAGTCAGCACGACTTTAAGTGATGAGCTCTTTCGGGTTGACACAGGTATGTGGCTGTCACTGCTTTCATCAGCTACACTATTTCCAACTTCTAACATTCTGTTTTTCATATGCATGCAGTCTGCTCCGTCTTGATCTATGACCTTTTGGGCCTCGTCTATGTTGCTTATGATGAACTGTTCCCACTCTGGTGCTTATCTCGCTGGAACCTTGGTGGTCTTAATCTTGGATCAAATGAAGTTGGACTTGCTCAAACAGCCGGAGGGGTGTCACTGGTCGGTATTGAGCAATGAAACCTGTTTTTATGTACTCATCTAAACTCTTGCGCTAACCTTGAGCATGTCACATTTTGCAGATTCCATTTCAGCTCTTCGTGTACCCAATACTGAATCAGAGGCTCGGCCCAACACGAACACTGCAACTGGGACTAATCTTCGGAGCCACCTTGGGTGCACTACCTATAGTGAGGGTTGTTGGCACAGATCGCACAAAGCTTCTAATCGCCATAATGTCTGTCCAGATGCTTCGAAGGTATGATGCCGTTATGGAGTATGTCCATTATTCCCTGACTTCTCTGCTGCTAACATGCTGAAGCCGCCTTTGCAGCGTAGCATCCCTGTGCTCCTTCACATCTGTTTTCATTCTTATTTCGAACAGCGTCAAGCGTTCTGAGTTCTTGGGCACAGTTAACGGAATAAGCCAGACAGGAAATGCGGTGTGCCGTGCAATTGCACCAACGTTGGCTGGTAGTGTTTTTGCCTGGAGTATTGCACAGAAGTGGGTGCCCTGGATAGATCAGCATTTTCCGTTCGCACTTTTTAGCGTTGGTGTCATGGGCATTCTGTACCTGTCATGCATGCTGACTAGATCTGCTGATACTCGAGATTGACCACTATCTACCGTATCATACTACAAGTCCTACAGATGCCCTGTTAAAATCCAGGGGCCACACCCACAGGTTTGTGATACATTTAACCACACAGCTTTGGTGGTGATACATTTTACCCTGCAGCAAAGATGGTGATACATTTTACCCTGTACTTTGGAGCTAGTTGTGGTTCTGTGGACAAAGTTACACTCAATTACCAGTAAGCAGTTTGGGTGATTGGAGTTCCTTTTTATGGGTAGTAGCTGTATAGTTTTGTGTTTTTCTCACATTTTACTGGAAGTGAAAGAATCATTGCAACTTTTCGAATGTGAAGGGGTGAGATGAGAAGGTACTCAACCTGAAGGGGTTGCCCCGTACCTTGTATTATCTTCAATACGTCAATGAACCAGATAAAGCGGCCGGTTAGCTTTGGGCCTTTGTTTCACTAGCGTTGGCACCTCTACTTGCAACAGTCTTGCCTCCCTGTCTACTTGTTTTCACAGCTGGAGCACTCTGCTGAGTATTCACATCCACTTTTCCTCTTTTCGATACACTAGCACTTGCTAACCTTCCTTTACTGCCACTTTGTGCTGCCACCTGTTTTCTCCCAGCGCCTTCTGCACCACCAGTGGTACCTTGCTGCTTCTGCAGAGTGTTTGTTGTGCTTCCCTTGTCCCTGTCCTTCTGCACCTCTTGCCGCCTCGCCGTCTGTGGCTGCTGATGCTGTGCTACCTGCCCTTCGCTCCCACCTGCCTTGGCTGCTTCTTCCTTACCACTTCCTCCACTCTTTTTTGCAGCTGCTGCAGGAGCCGCCCTCCCCCCTTTCACCAAGGCCACACCCTTCACTGCACCTGCAGTAGACGCAACCCTTGCTCCACCACCCACTTCCTTGCCTTTACTACTTGCACTAGACGTTTGAGTCCCTACTTTGGTGCCCGTTGGTGTTGCTGTAGCTCCTGCTGCCTGCTTCCCCTGTGTGCTGCCCATGTGACCAGCAACCACCTTCCCATCAACATTTGTCTCTGCCTGTACTGCCATCGCACCTGCCTTTCCTCTCTGCCCCGCTGCTGCTCCTCCAGCTGTCGCTCTTGCCACTGTCTTGCTGGCAGCAGCAGCCACTGTGCTTGTGGTGTTGTGCACTGCAGCACTGCTGCCTCCACGTGCCGCAGTAGCGGCAGATTTTCCTGCTGCCACTGCGCTGCCTGCACCACCCGCCACCTCTCTGCCTCCCGCTGCCTGCTTGCTACCCACCACCTCTCTGCCTCCCGCTGCCTGCTTGCTACCCACCACCTCTGCGATCCTGCTTTCCTTATTACTGCTCGCGTGCCCCTGCGCCCCAACCTTTCCCTTAGACCCAACTCGGGGCTGCTTTGCTGCTAATGGCACTGCCACCTGCTGCCCTTCACCTGCGGTGCGTGTGCTGTTACTCTCCGCAGCCCCATGCGCCCCCGCCACCGTCTTCACCTTCCCTGATCCCCCCCCTCTGCTTCCTGCTGCTGCTGCTGCACCCTGCTGTTGCACTCTCGATTCACCAGCCACTGTTCCCCGCCCTGCTGTTGCTGCAGCTGCCCTTGACCCTTTCACCGAACCAACTGACGCTGCACCCGAACCAACTGACGCTGCACCCGAACCAACTGACGCTGCACCCGAACCAACCGACGCTGCACCCGAACCAACTGATGCTGAACCCGAAACAACTGACGCTGCACCCGAACCAACTGACGCTGCACCCGAACCAACCGACGCTGCACCCGAACCAACTGATGCTGCACCCGAACCAACTGACGCTGCACCCGAACCAACCGACGCTGCACCCGAACCAACTGACGCTGCACCCGAACCAACCGACGCTGCACCCGAACCAACTGACGCTGCACCCGAACCAACTGACGCTGCACCCGAACCAACTGATGCTGCACCCGAACCAACTGACGCTGCACCCGAACCAACCGACGCTGCACCCGAACCAACTGATGCTGAACCCGAAACAACTGACGCTGCACCCGAACCAACTGACGCTGCACCCGAACCAACCGACGCTGCACCCGAACCAACTGATGCTGCACCCGAACCAACTGACGCTGCACCCGAACCAACCGACGCTGCACCCGAACCAACTGACGCTGCACCCAAACCAACTGATGCTGCACCCGGACCAACTGATGCTGCACCCGAACCAACTGACGCTGCACCCGAACCAACTGATGCTGCACCCGAACCAACTAATGCTGGACCCGAACCGACTGACGATGCACCCGAATCAACTGATGCTTTACTTTTCTTCTCCCCTCCTGCCCCTGCTGCCATCCCCTTACCCCTGCCTTCTCCTCCATTCCCACCCCCTTTCATCTCTGACTGCACAGCAGCAGCGGCAGATGAATTACTCTCCTTCGAAATGCCATCTTGCTGCCTGTCTGTTTGCGCCACACCTGTGCTCGCCGTCTCCTTGCCCCCCCTCACCTGGGCCTGCTCTCCTCCTTGCTTCTCCGATGCTCCACTTCCGCCACTTTCCGTTGTCCCACCTGCCATCGCCTCCTCCTTCTGCTTCGCCTCCCCCACAGCATCTCCCGCTACCCCACCCGTCCCCGCCCCTTCCACGCCGTCCTTCCCCCCATCCTTCCCCACCCCCGCCTTCTTTTTCTTCTTCTTCTTCTTCTTCTTCTTCTTGTCCTTGTGTTTCCAGGGCTCTGTGAAGCTGATGGCAGTGTCATTTGAGTCAGTGGGGAAGTCGGGCCACAGCCGCTCGCGCTTCGTCACGTCCACATGCACGCCGTCCCACTCCTCTACCTCCACCTGCTCCCCTCCATCCACTTCCTTCGCCGCTGCCACCTTGTTCCCACCAGCATTCTCCATGGCACCCACGCCAGCACCAGCGCCACCACCACCACCACCATCAGCAGCAGTAGCAGCAGCAGCAGCGTTGGCAGCAGCAGCGGTACCAGCAGCAGTAGAAGCTGGGATGGTGGCACCTGGAACTGCTGTAGCGTTGCCCATACTTGTCCCTGCCACGCCCCCCTTGGTCCCACTGTCAGCACTGCCAGCAGCAGTACCAGTGTGCTCTGGCGTGTGAGCAGCAGCAGCAGTGGCAGCAGCTGATGAAGCCGTGGAAACCCCAGCCGCAGCAGTCACAGCAGCAGAGGTGGCAGTGGTAGCAGCGGTAGCAGCAGATGTAGCAGCAGCACTAGTCACTTGCCCCGCACCACGTCCACCACCCTCCACCACTGCCACCCGCACCCCCCCCCTCTGCTGTAACTGCTGCTTTCCCCGCGCCCCTGCTGCCCCTGCTGCGCCTGGAGACGCCTGGCGCAGGGCCCAGTGGGGAGGGGGGCGACAGCCGCGCGGGGTGAAGCTACAGGGGGGGCAGTCGGGGTGAAGCGGTGTGGTGGCTGTGGTGGTTGGGAGAAAGGAGGAGGAGGAGGAGGAGTTGGCAAAGCAGCGGGTGCAGTCCTGCTGCGAGGCATGGCACTCTGCACGCAGTTGCAGGTCGGGGAAAGTTGGGGGCGGGTGGGTGCGGCAGGTGAGTGGGGCAGACGAGGTGATGAGAGGAGTGCAAGGGAGGGATACAAGGAGCGGACGCTGATGGGAGTCAGGGCTAGGGGGGGAGGACAGGGGGAGAGAGAGCAAGCAGAGGCAGCAGATACATGGATGCGGCGTGGAGTGAAGGGACAGCAGCAGTGGCAGTGGGAATGAGGCAGTGCTGGGGGTAATGTGTGAGAGCATGCGCAGCAGCTGTGCAGTGCAGTGGCGTGCCATGCGGGCATCTCACCGGGCACACAGGGCTCGCGGAAGCGCACGAAGCCGGCCTGCGCCAGCGCCAGCAGCACGGCCCTCTCCCGGCGCTCGCGCCACGGCTTGGTGCTGCGCTGGCACGGGTCGTAGTAGTGGTACGGCGCTGGGTAGTGCGGTGATGACTGGCAAGGGGGGGGGGAGACGGGGGGTGACGGAGTGGCCGAGAAAGTGGGGTGAGGGCGAGATAAGCAGAGGGCTTGGTGCTGCACTGGCACGGGTCGTAAGAGTGGTACGGTGCTGGGAAGTGCGGTGATGACTGGCGAGCGGGGTGCGGCAACGCAAGGTGGGCGCGGGCGAGACAGGGCAGGTGAGGTTGAGATGATGGGGGGAGCAGGGGGGGAAAGGAAGGGTGCGGATGAAGAAGCAGGAGAGGGAAGTGCAAGCCTCTAACAGGGGAGAGAGGAGTGGGAGGGAGGAAGTACGAGTGGCAGTGTGGGAGCAGCGACTCACAGTGAAGCCATAGAGCGTGATGTGCTGGCAGCGCTGCAGCGCCACCATCACCGCTATGAACCCCGCCGTGGGCGCGTGGCCGGCGTTCCTTGTCACGTACTGCATGAAGGAGGGGTGGATGGGGTACGTCTGCACCGTGTACGACCGCTTGCGCGCCTGCCAGTGGGGGGTTCGGGGGGGGGGGAGAGAGAGGGGGAAACGAAGGGAGGAGGGGGGAAGGAGGGGATGAGAAGAGGGGAACCTGGGAGGGGGGTGGCAAAGGTGGGGGCGGTATGTCGAGTGAGTTGGCGTGCACTGGGTGTGGGGCAGCATGGCATGGCAGGTGTGGCAGGAAAGCAGGCAGGGGCACTGACCGTGACGAGGCCCTGTGCGGTGGTGTGCGATACTATGGGCACCAGCACCTTCTCATCGCGCTCCTGGCACCACCGCATTGGGAAGGGGGAGAGGTGAGGGGAGCGGTGTGGGGGGCATGGTGAGGAGGGTGCAGGTGGAGAGATGCGGAGATTGGAAGCGGATTGCAAGGGCTTGATGTTGTTTGCGACTGGACCTTTATGGCATGCCAGGG